GTGCAGGTTTCTACTTCCAGGAAGAGCAGGCTCCCCCTCCTTCTGGGGAGGCCCAGGCCTGCTGTCCTGAGCGATTGGTGGTGGAGCTGTCCCTCCCTGCAGCTTGGCCTCAGAAGCCCAAAACAATGACAACAGCAACACCCTATCCGTTTTCATAAAGCCTGGGCCCTGCCCTGTAGTAAAGCGTGTTTCGATTCTCAGCTCGTTCCTGAGCCTGTTTGCTATGAGATTCCCGGCCAGGAAGAATTTATGTACAAGCAGTGGGCATCTGTTGTCCATGTGGGCTAGCGTGGGTGGGGGGGGCAGGGAAAGCAAGCCATCAGCTCTTCGTGGACAAGAAAGCCCCCAATTCCTAATTTTAGGAAGAGAGGGGAGACTTTATTACTCCCGAGTTATGCCTCCCGGCATATGGCTGGGTTCACTCTGGAAGCTTTCTCCAGCCTCTAAAGAATGGTGTTATTTAGCTTCTGTAGTTCCAGCTTGCTGTTTTTAAAAATCCTCTTAATGAAGCACCTTGTCATTGAAAGTGCCGAAGAAGGAAAGCAAGCGAGAAACCCTGGACACGTGAAGGTCCTTTTCCATCTCTGGGTACAGACCAACTGTGCAGGCAGCTTTAGGGAGGAGACGGGCAAGGACCTCCTCACGCAATTGAAGTGGGTAGAATTAGAGGCAGCTCTGAAAAACCAGTTAATATTTTACTGGGGAGAAGTGCCAGAGATGAGGGTGGGGGGGGCTGCCAAATGGAGGGCTGTATGTGAAATCGCTGCTCCATCTGCCTTGGGGGACGAGAAGAAGCCGTTCTCTGTGCAAATAAATGGAAGCAAGAATCCTTAGGAAGCCCAGGGGATTTGTCTGCTCACCGACTTGGGCCCAGCTCCCCCAGGCTCACACATACAGGGATGATTGTGGCAGGAAGGGCTGACCTACGGGGGTAGGCCTGACGCATAATGGGGGCTCTTGTTTCCTGGCTGAGCGTGCCATCTTTCTGTCTCCCTCTGGATTGAAATGGCTTCTCAGCCCGAGAGGCACTGCCTGTGCCCTGGATTCACAAGGTACACGCCTCCCTGGGAAGCAAAGGCTGAGAGACAGCGGCTCTCTCTCTCTCTCTCTGTCTGCATCTGCCGGGGGAGCTGCAGCTGGTATTTTTCCACAGGCCTTTGCTGCGATCTCAAGGCCTAGTTTTTCCCAGCCAGGCCCCGAGTCCGAGCGAGGGTTAACAGGCAGGAAGCCGAAGGCATCGCAGGCTAATACGGAAGTCAGATTTGTGTTTAGCAGGCCTCGGCCGTGGGGGAGGGGCCGGGAGGGAAGGGAAGTTTGTAGATCCAGGCATGTGGCCTGCGAGGAGAGCTTTGGGCTTTTCTTAGGGTAAGGACCGAGAGGGGCCCCCGTTGGCATCGTGGCAGGGAGGCAGGAACCCGCGCTGGTTTTGCCTGCAGGGCTGGCTGGGCACGGTGAGAGGCCCACTGCTCTCTGGCCTGCCTTGCAAGGAGGCATGGGGACAATGACTATGCAAACTTGACCACTCTGCTCCCCTCCTCCCCTCAGCAGCGGCTCCTCGCTCCTCTGAGAAGCCAGGGATGTTCCCTGCTGATTTTTCGGGGCTCCCCCGGGCTGCCTGCTTCCCCCAGCTCCTCAGAGGCCTGCCTCAAGCCCTTTCTTCTGGCCCCCTTGGCTGTTTCCCCTGGCCTCCCCACTCCCCAGCGTCCTCTTCCCCTTGGAGAGTCACCCTGCTGGACTGTTCTAGAAAAGGGCTGGCCTTCCTCCCTGGACAAGAGCCGTTTCTCTGGGGGCAGGTGAGGGTGACCCGTCCCAGCCCACCCCAAGAAACTCTCTTCCCAAGGGCATCTGGGCCTCGGGCTTCCCTGGAGCAGGTCAGGCTGGCTGCCCTGGCTGGCCCGTGCCCGGAAATCTAGCCAGGGTGTGGGAGAAGTGCGTGTGGGGGCCCCTTTCCCAAGTTTTTCTTGCTGCAAAAGGCCTAGCTTAGCCTGTCTTTTTCTATGCACAGGATGGCTCTTGCTCACCCGAGCCTCACAAAGATAATCGCTCAGGAAGTGTTTCAGCCAATCCGGGGCGGCTTTACACTCCGATTTGCCGGGGCAGCCAATCGGGGATGAGCTTTTATTAGGCGGCCAGATCATCAGCCGAAGTGCCAAACCCTTTTTCTGTGAGAACTAGGAGCCTGTCCTCCATGTTTTATAAGTATTGACATTACACAGTGTTAACAATGCATCCACAGAGGTAAGCTCGACTTTTTAACCATCTTTTTTCCCCCTCCCTCTGAGACATCCGAATTGTGGGCGAGCAGTGTGATTTCTCTGTGGCTGGCCGTGCCACACTCACCCCCAGAGCACTTATGTTAACTTGGAACTGTTTAGAGAGAATTTTTTTGCTTTCTTGGGTCACATGGCTCAGTAGCCATTAGCCATAGCTTGATTTTGCAAACTGGCAAGGGCCTGGCACACCTTTCCTTCCACTAGGACATGGTGTTTCTGGAAGAGTTTGAAGCTAGATGCTGGTATGCCAAAAAAGAAGCTCTTTTCTTTTCTTTTCTTTTTCTTTTTTTTCTTTCCCTCTCTTCCTCTCTCTCTCTCTCTCTCTCTCTCTCTCTCTCTCTCTCTCTCTCTCTCTCTCTCAGCAGTCCCCCCTCCCTCCCTGCACTATTGTCTTCTCTTTTGCCACATGCCCTGCTGGGGGAAGAAAATGGAAGGTAAGCAAGCAGGCTCCTCTCCAAGGAGAGCTCATGGCAGACAGCAGCGCAGGCAAGTTTGCCTCTCCAAAGAGGTTCTGGGAAGGCTGGATAAGTTTTGACAAGAGAGGAGCGTGTTTGCAAAAAGAACTGAGCCCTCAGCAGAGCAGTGCTAAGGAGAGTCTAGCTCCTGGGGCCTAGGTGGGTGGTGGTGTCTGTACACGGAGCTTCTCTTATTCTAAGAGCTTCTGCACTTGAAACTACTTTGTTCAGCCTGTTTTCTTGACTGAGGTTGCTACAGTGTTCTGCAAGCCAGCCTACAGCCAGCAAATGTTTCTGAAAGTGTTGGAGGAAGTTTTTGGAGCAGGGATGGGGATTGGGGGGTGGGGGGAGAGAGAGATCTTGGACAACATCCTGCAAAAAAAAAAAAAAAAATAAAAACCAAAAAACAAAAAAAGGAAAAAATCTGCAAGGACTCTGAATCCCTTAGCTTTCTACTCTTGCATGATTTTTCAAGGAACTAATGTTACCTTTTATCTTTTCCTTTTCCTCTCCCTTTTATACATTGTATCCTCCTCTGTTGTGTGTGATGGAGTGTAGAGGAAAGAAAACCATGTCTGTGGCTCCTGACAGCATTCCATATTCAGTTGTTGGGTTGTGGTGTTGTTGATGTTGTGTGTTTTTAATAATACCATGTAACTGTTTAAAAAAATTTCCTTTTTGATCAAGTCCCAAATCTGCCAGCCTGTTCTCTCTTCCTAACTGTGGAAAAATGAGACGGTTGCTTGAACATTTGTTGGGTAAGTAAAGCAATCCATTTCCTCTGTGACCATGTTTGAAGAGTTTTGTGAACATTTGGGGTCTGATTGTAAGAGGGGGTCTTGGCTACAGGAGTTTGGGGCTTCATTAGCAGGAACAGAACAAGGGCCTTTTAAAAGAGTGTCTTGATTTTAGGTGACTGTTTGAATTCACTGTTTTCCCTGATAACCTGCAGCTAGGATTGAAGATTACACTTCCTGTTTACCCCCAGTCAGGGGAGAAATGTTCAGTTCATTGTGACTTGACTCTAGATCTTTAATGGGGTTTGTTTGGATATTCAACCTGTGAGTAGGTGATGTGCTTGTGAAATGTCATGAAACTGTTTGTGCTTAGATGTGCAGAGCCCTAAAAACATGGGGTGGGGGGCAGAAGCTGGTGGTGGTGGTGGTATGTGTGTTTTGGGGGGGGGGTGGTTGTCAGTGCTCATGTTTTAGGATTTTTATATATACAGTATAAAATCTCATCCACCACCAGACTGCGTTTGATTTCAGGACTCACTGACACACATTTCGGCCTTTTTCCAGGTCTGATCCACACATCTGTATGCATGCTGGCCTCACATAAGATTTCTCACTTTTTACATTTCCCTTGCTCTCCTTAGGCTGCAGCTAGAAGTTAAGTGGAAAAAGTAGAGTCTTGTTTAGCATTACCTTCAGAATTTCCCTAGAAGTTCACTCTGTAAATTTTCAGCTTGGAGACCAATCCAGCATGACTGTGAATGCAGGCAATATATATTCAGTTGCTGTGTTATGTCAACTTTATGGAGTCAGTAATCTTTTTTCTTTCAAATGTGTGTCCAGTAGCCCACTTTCTGACATCAAATTGGAAAAAGGCTCATTTAATCAGGAGAAATGTACCACATTCTAAGTTGAGAAAAGTCTGTGCAAGGCAGGCCAGCTTAGCTTCTTAGAATAAAACTGCAGGCAGTTCATGATGTTATATACTTAAAACTGAGCAGTGCCACTGCCCCAAACAAGTAAGTTCAGACACTCAGCTATTTTCTTTGTTCTTATCTCCTTGCTGTAAATGGAGATTACATATTGAGGTTCCTGTGGCCTCCCTAGAAGCAATGTCTAATCATAAGACTCCTGGTTTGGTGCCTTCAACGTTTGCATAATACTGTGTTTGTTGGGCTGGAAGGGAACTTCAGGGCAAGGCATTTGTCCTCTAAAAGCTTGCATTAAAATGGCTCCCACAGGTTTGGAGAGCCAAGATCTGTTTTCAAATGTATAACCCCCAGCAAGTTCCCAACCCTGGACCAAGCTAGCCACGTTTCCTGTGGTACTGTGGCCCCCACCAAGCATGAGTCTGTAAAAAGTTAATTGCTTTCAAAGTAGCATTATTTTCCAGTTTCAGGAAGTGTGGGGGGGGGGGCGGATAAATGTCTGCATTGCAGCAGGACTAGGTAGGGACGGCAGTGCTGGCTCCCAGAGCAGCCCAATGGGGTTCTTCTACTCTAGCTTTTAAACCAATAGACTTGGAGGAAAGGTTAAAGATTGACAATTGCAGTGGCCGAACTAAGAACGGGCCTTCTGGAAATTTCTACCATCTTTGTTTCTTTTAGGAAAAGCAGATGTGCCAAGCGGAAGAGTCTCCTACCTTCCATTCCTAGGTCATCTCTCTTCCCTGCTTTCCCCCAGCCCCTGTTCTTTTTCTCATCAAGGTAGAATGTTCTCTCTGCCACGTTTCTAAATTGCAGAGGGAGGAACAGAATGTTGGGCTGTTTTCCTTTCTCCTTCTGCCTCCTCAGTCCCCAAAGAGGATACACAGCTGCAAGGAGCAAACACAGACACACTGAAGCTTTTGATTCCTCTCCTTTTTTTTTTCCTTCAAGACCCTCCAGGATGGATTCACTTTCTGCTTGGGGAAATTAAGTGGCATTCACGTGGGGGAGGGGGAGTAACTGCTTTTATTAGCTCCAGAAAATGGTCACTGTTCAGTCTGTAACTAGGAATTAATTATATGTAATCACTCAGTAAACTTTCTACAGAGTTTTTCTAATTGCTGAGCCTGAACATAGTTAGCCCATTGGCGCCAAGTCCAGTTACTTTTATAATTAACAGCTCAAAGATTTGAGTCAGAAAGAAAAGAAACAATTGGGGGCCTCTTGGATTATAAATTAGGGATGAAAACAATAGCTTTTTTCCCTTTCTTTCTTGTAACCCCTTTTCTTTTAAACAAAACATTCCCCCTTTTCTTTCCCTGGGAGAACCAGTGGGGAGACTGCGTCAGGTCTTAAATAGGATAGGGTGGCGGGGGGAGACACTTTTTAGGAAGCGGGGTGGCAGGAACCTAACCTTTTTAGGAAGCGGGGTAGTAGAAAACCCAAGGTAGGTTTTTAAAAGTCCAGCCACTTCCAATGTGTGATGTCTTTGTTTCTTTTGCCCTCTTTCCCCTTCTCTCTCCTGTGGCAGAGGCAGCAGACATTTGTCAGCCTGGGAACCCTCAATCTGGCTTTGCCTCTGGTTGACCCTGGAAGAAAGATACATTCAAAGGGGCCTTCGCTACTGCACAGCAGAGATTTAAAAAGGGAATATGTTTCGAAGCCCTTTGGTTGCTTTTAAAATGCAAAATCTGAGCAAGGGTTCACCCTTGGCTTCAGGTTGCTAAGATTATGGTCGCCCTCCCCCCTACTTCCCACTCTCCTTGCAGACAAACAAGCAGGCAGTGGCCATGCCAGCTCTGCAGCCAGTGTGCTGCCAGCCTGCCCCCCCATCCAGATTACCTACCTACCGGCCGGCGGGGGCCAGTGGCCCGTCCTTGCCCGGGCACGGCCTTGGGCGCTGTGCCCTCCTTTCTCCCCTGGAGCTAAAAAGCAGTCACCTTGAAACTCCTCACTCCCAGCACCAGAGGAGTTCTGAGGCCAGTGCTCAGACCTGTAACAGTAAATGACGTTATCTACTCAGGCTGTTAGTTCGGCCTCTGAAATCGGGTTTTGCAAAACCCATTGTTAATTCTCAGGCTCTGTTGGGGGTGGTCAGAAATCTAATGTGTGAGTATCCTGTGCATTGGATAAGGGAATGTTTTCCTTGTGTTTCTCCTCTGCAGACTCGGATTGTCTTTCCTTGATGTTAACTGTCTTAGGACTGGTGGCTTCAGAGGGCTGGGTATTTAGCTGTTTGCAGGCTTATAAACAGCCTTTTGATTTTACCTTGGCCGCAGACTGAGGTGCAGCCCTTTTGCTTGGCTTTTCAGATGCCTGCTGTCCTTGAAGCACTTTCATTTTACCTAGCTCCTTTTTGGTATGAATGCAAAGCTGGTTTCTAATAGACTGAGAAGAGAAGGGGGACCTGGCTTCCTCCTCGCCTCCCCCCAGCCTGCTCCCTGGGAACATTTTTGTGTTTGCACAGACACCTGTCCGTCTGCAGTTTGTGCCACGGGGCTGCACAATTCCTAACCTTCTACCCACCTAATTCGAGGGCAAGGGGGCCTCATCACAGAGCCTCATCTTGAAGGCTCAGGATCTGCAAGAGAAGGCTTTTCCTTAGGAACCTGTGACTTCACAAACTCTCCCTGTCATTGCAGAGTTTTTTTTAAGCTTCTAAACGTTGGGTTGTTGGTGTCCTTTGGTTCAGCTTTTCCTAGTTCTGGTATTTAGGAAGGTGGCTTTGAAACTAGCAGGGCTGCTTAAACAAGAGCTACAGCTATTGAACAAACTGCTACCATTTTAGCTTCAACACAGGAATGAGGCAGTGTTGCCAGACGCCATTTTAAGAATCCTGCATAAATAGCTTAGCTACCGATGACTCTGCCTGTTTTAGGTGAGTGCTTATATAAAGCTGCTCTGCTAACCATTCCCCCCCACCCCAATTTCTTAAAAAATTAATTGCAGATTTAGGGAAGCATGGTTTTTAATTTTGATGTTCACTATTTTGTAATCTAGAAGAGGAAGATGTTATGCCTTGGGGATTAAATATTTCTTACAGCCTGGACCATTTTGGTATTTTGAATGAAAGTAAAAACCAGGAAAAAGTCCTTTCGAATGATGCATGATTCTTGAATTGCTGTGCTATGATCCTCATCTGTAGAACCAGAGTTGTGTGCATGTTGGTTATGTATTCTAGATGGCTTAGATATTCTTCTTTAAAAGTCAAATAGTAGGGGCACTTGGGGAAAAGAAGTGTGTGGGCATTGTGTATCTAGGCATTTTTCTGTCAAAATTAGATGCTTTCTTTTTTCTCTCTTGGAAGTGTTGAGATGAGATTCCTGGGAATTACGGACCATCCCTGAGTCCTCAGAATTAATAATCAGAAGGCTTAAAGCATCCTGGAGGTGCAGTAGTTCATCTGCAACTTTTAATTGCTCTTTTTTCAGTGCATGCAGGTTAAGAAGTAAGCATAGGTTTTCTTGCTTAGGCACTAGGGGAGAAATCTTTTATTCTTTTTGGGATGGGATGGGATGGGGTGGTCTTGATTGTCTTTGCAGGTACTGTTATTTCTTTGAATTGCCTGAAATGTATCAGTTTGTGAAATCTACAGGCAAGTGACTTGGCTAAATATGAATGTAAGAGGTGGTGATGTATACAATGTATATAACTAGTTGATAGTGTATTTTCTTGTTGGAGTGAGAAATGGTTGTTTGCTTTTCAGCTAATTTTACCCTTTTCTTTAGAGGGCCCCCAGTTTCCTCAACAGACCTTTTAAAGGGAAAAAAAGTAATGACAGTTTGAAACAAGACCTTGTTGTCCCATTGTTTTTGATTTAAATCATCAGGGTTGCTGGAAGCTAGCAGATATGGAAGGAAATAAGCTGTATATGTTCTGAGACTTTAATGTGTTAATGACAGAAGTTCAAAGTATTTTCTCCAGATGCAGCTGCCTTTTCTTTTTAACAATTATTTAACTGTTTTTTCCCCCCCTAAATGACTGAACGGTTCTTAACCAAAATTGACCAACATCTGTGGGGCAATTCAGACAGGTACAGATCTTTTCTTGCCACTACTTTTGATGTAATATTCATGTTTTTCCCCTAATAGCATACGAGTTCTTCACGTTAAA